GGCACATGGCAGAGAAGAGCCTTTCTTGGAGGCGGCAGAGAGCAGAACGCAAAATGCAGGAGCAGCGGCAACAACGGTGGCAAAGAGCAAGTCTGTCTGCCTCGCTCATGTTGCATTCAGGCTCTCTGCCCCAGGCTGAGTGCAGCACTCAGACCCACAATCCCAGTGGATCAGGAGTTAATTACAAACTCTAGAAGTCCACCCTGTGACTACATGAAGCTTTGGGGGAACAAGTAGACACAAACCATAACAAATAAGAAAATCTGAGGCCATGGAGATACCTGAGTGGTTAAGTACCTGCCTGGCAAGCACAAGGTCCTGAGTTCAATCACTGGTACCAAAAAAAAACAAAAAACAAGCAAACAAAAAAACAGAGGGTGAAGCAAGAGAAACACTTGCACACAGGAGTCTGAGGTCAGGCTGGGCAACAAAGAGTCCTTACCTCATTTAAAAAAAAAAAAAGAACATTAGATTCAAAGAAGGTAAATACCAATGAGCAAAAATAAATCAAAATGTTCAGCTGTCTAGGGAAGTACAAATTCAAGCCATAGTAAGCTATCATTAAGTCAGACAATTTAAGTCTGACCACACCAAGGGCTTGAAGGCCATGAAATAATTCTCCTCTGATGCCGGAAAGGCAGTAGCCTGGGGAAAGTAATTTGGTTTTAGTTATTAAGTTTGAAGGTGCTCATTCTCCACCAACCAATTAGCTGTTCCAGGCACAAGCATCAGAGGAATGTGCGCCCATACTCAGGGAAGTACATCCAGTCAGAACAACCTTGCTTGTAATTGGGAAGATCTAGACACGACTTAAACATCCATCAGTACTGTTGATCCCTGAAAATTAATTAGGGACTCAGATATCCATGGGCGAATCTCAGAACGAATGCTGAGCAATTCACAGAAAACTACAGACATGCAAAAAATGAACTCCAATTTAGACCAATAAACAAATAGTAAGTGGACATGAAACACATGGAAACTACAATGACCAAATGTAAGATGTTAGCCACCTCTGAGAGACAGAAGAAAGATGTACACACCGAGGACTATCTGAAGGCGTCGAACTGATTGATGACAGTTTATATCTTTAGTATGGGCTGCTTGCAGGTAGATGGGAGTTACCTGCATCACTGTCTACCGCTTGCTTGCTTGCTTGCTTGCTT